GGGTTTCTCCTTCACGTCAAATTTCTTTTTCTCCACCTCCTGGTCTTCCAAATACATTGTAAGGAAGTTCGTGAAGGGGTATGATCTATCACCCTCATTGACCACCCTAGTGATCACCCTAGACATGACATTCTCCACATTGATTGGGAACCCCGCCATAATAGCAGCCACTAATATCGCCCGAGAGACCAGTACGGAGTTTTCATGGGTAGTGGGGTCCAGCCTGCTACATATGAAAGTCTCTCACCCCTTTGCCTCAAAGTTTAGGGTTTTTGTCAAAATAGTAACCCCTGTTGTCAACCATGCTGGGGTGGTACTCGAGAGAGCCAGATATGATGCCAACCATGGACGGGCTGCCTCATCGAGTGCCAACTTCTCCAATTATAGTGTTTCATCTTCCTCATTAAAGCCCAAGTACTCATTTATTGTCTTCCCATCGAACTTCACTTTAAAGTTCCGCACTTTAGTCACTTTGGTACCCTTCATGATGTGGGAAGCATTGGCGTAAAACTCTTTGACTAAGTGATCGTTTGCCTCTAACACCCTGGTGGTGAAGTAATCCCACCCCACTCATTCATTGAATTGTTGTTTCACGTTGGGGTTGTATGGCAGGAGATCCCTTTTTATGAACTAGCACTCATGAATAAGATACCTTAAAGGCCACCATTCCCGGAACTTGTGATAAGTCAGCTCACTGATGAACGGCTTTTGCCAAACCTCGGGGTTTCTAGTTCTTTTCACACCCCCGAACTGGGACACACCCCTCCCTCTTCATCCGGTACCCCATCATCTATATCCTATCCAGGTGACGAAGGTGTAGGTGAGGTTGAAGCTGAACTGTCACTGCTCTCTGCTGAGCCCTCAGACGACTCAGAAGAAACATGAACTGAAGCATGAGCAGTAGGAGAGGTCAGAGGTTTAGGTACATCTCTCAATCTCTATCTCTCCGGGAAGTCGGGTACATAGTCTAGCACAGAATCAGACTCTGAAGCCTCCCGAGAGGGAAGTTACTCACTCCCCTCAGAATGGGAAGCAGCTCTATCTGCATCTCTGATGTTTTTTCTAGTTTACCCAATTGCTTTGCGAACTGCTGGGGTCAATTTAATCATGCCACGTCCCCTACCTCGGGAGGACTCTGCTCTACCCTTTTGTTTGTCACCACCTCCTCTAGATTTAACCATTATTTTCAAGTATAATCAGTTGAAACTTGTTAGTGCAAAGACTACAAGAAGCAGTGCATAAAAACAGTTGAGAGTGCAAGACAAAACAGCAGACCGCGGACCACAAAAAATGCACTGTGGCCGCGAAGGCTGCATTGTAGACCGCGAAAAATCAACCTCGGATTGCGGAGAGCTAGGATTAAGACTACCCACTCTCTGATTCAATAGCACCGCAGACCGCAAAAAATGGAGCGCGACTGCGGTAAGTGCATCGCGGACCGCAAAAAATGCCACTGCTGACCGCGGTTCCGAAGACTTAAAAATATCTCAAAAGATAGATGACCGCGGACCGCGGAAAAACAATCGCAGACCGCAAAAGTCAAATTTGGGTCAGCACCTAGGGTTTAAAAATTTTTCGTGCATTTTAGCATTAATCAACACATTATCACTCTACTAGGTAGTTAATCACCATTTCTTACTAATTAAAACCTAATCTAATTAGCACTATGGAACCCTAAGTCAAAATTAAAAAAAAAATAAGAAGAATAAGTAATATCGATCAATTCAAAAGAAAATAAGAACATAATTAAAAAATAAGGGTTGCTTAGAATTACCGGATGTGAAATATGAAACAAATTCAACTCAGTTCTTGTGTTTGTGCAAGCTAGGGGTGAACGAACAGTAGTTTATGTTGATTGAGAGTGCAAAGGGCGAAAAGTGTAAAAAGGGGCACCGAGGTTCTATTTATAGACAAGCCCTGGGACCCACTTACTCTTACCTACCGCGACCGTGGTAAATGCACCACAGACCGCGATTGTGAAACTCAGAAGGGATTTCGCTTTGAGACTACCGCGGACTGCATCGTGGCAGTGGTTGAAACTTCAGAGAGCCTCCACTTCTGACATTTTATCACCACTGAACGGGGACAATTTCTACCTCCGTGGTAAGGCCATCGCGACCGCGAAAAATCAAGCGCGACAGCGGTCCAAACTTCAGAGAGTGCCAAATTTTTCTAGATTAGTCCTGCACTGCATCAAACATCCCTATGCACATCTCAAAACCAGTTAGTTCAAAAGCTAATCCTATACTAAGAAGAAAATCAAAGGAAAACAAAACGAAAAACACATGGTTTGCCTCCCAAGAAGCGCCTGATTTAACGTCGTGGCATGACGCAGGTTACCATCAATCACTTGAGATGGATCATTGCCACCACGTGGCTGTCATCAAACTTGCCAAGATAGTGCTTGACTCTGTGCCCATTAACTCTGAAGATCTCACCATTTTTGTTTTTCAAATCAAAAGCACAAAATGGAGTCACAAGCACCACCTCAAAAGGTCCACTCCATTTTGATTTAAGCTTACCCGAAAACAGTCGCAACTGAGAATTGAACAAGAGAACCAAATCACCGACTTTGAACTCTTTTCCACGAGCATACCTCTCATGAAGGTACTTCATCTTGTCCTTATACAAGGACGAACTGGAGTAGGCATGAAACCAGAACTCATCAAGCTCATTAAGCTGCTCCACCTAAAGATTTCCTGCCACATCCCATTCAAGATTTAACTTCCTCAAAGCCTACATGGCCTTGTTCTATAACACGATTGGTAGATGGCAAGCCTTCCCAAACACCAACCAGTACAGAGACATACCAATCGGAGTCTTGTAAGCAGTCCTATAAGCCTAAAGAGCATCATCCAATTTCTTTGACCAATCGGTCCTATTTGCATTGACCGTCTTTGATATTATACTCTTGATCTCCCAGTTAGATACTTCAACTTGCCCACTAGCTTGAGGATGGTAAGGGGTAGAAACATTTTGATTGACACCATACTTTGCAAGCAAAGTGTAAAATGCCTTATTGCAAAAATGAGACCCTCTATCACTAATGATTGCTCTAGGAGTACCAAACCGAGTAAAGATACTCTTCCTGAGAAAGGCCACAACACTCTGGGCCTCGTTGTTGGGTAATGCCACGGCCTCAACCCACTTTGAAATATAATCAACGGCCACAAGTATATACGTGTTGCCACAAGAGCTTACAAACGGACCCATGAAATCAATGCCCCACACATCAAATATGTCAACCTCGAGAATAGTGGTGAGAGGCATCTCATCCTTCTTTGAAATTCCACCTGCTCTTTGACATTCATCACATTTCTTCACTAGTTCACTTGCATCCTTGTACAATGTGGGCCAATAAAAACCACAACTTAACACCTTTGAAGCTATCCTCGCCCCACCATGATGACCACGGTAGGGAGAGGAATGACAAGCATCCAGAATACTCAATTGCTCCTCCTATAGAACACATCTCCAGATCACACCATCATTACAAATTTCGAACAAGTACGACTCATCCCAGTAGTAGTCCAAGCTATCCCATTTAGGGTTCTTCCTTTGGTTAGAAGAGAGCTCAAACAGAGCAATACCAGTTACAAGGAAATTGGCAATATATGCAAACCAAGGCATACTATTCATAGACACAGAGAGGAATTACTCATCAGGAAATGAATCATTAATCTCGAGGCCATCATGGGGCCTCCCCTCCTCCTCCAACCGGGACAAATGGTCCGCCACTTGGTTTTCACACCCTGTTTGGTCCACAATCTCTAAATCATACTCTTGAAGCAATAAGACCCATCTCATCAACCGAGCTTTGGAATCCTTTTTCGTCATTAAGTAACGGAGTGTGACATGGTCGGTATGAACTATCACCTTGGCACACATGAGATAAGGCCTAAACTTCTCCATTGCGAACACAATAGCCAACAACTCTTTTTTCGTCACCATGTAATTCACTTGAGCATCATTCATTATTTTGCTTGCATAATACACCAGGTGAAACACTTATTCACTCTTTGAACCAAAACCGCTCCTACCGCAACATCGCTTGCGTCACACATGAGCTCAAAAGGTAACATTCAATTGAGTGCGGTAATAATGGGAGTGGTTGTCAATTTGTACTTGAGGAGATCAAAAGCATTCATACATTCTTCATTGAACACGAACTTGGCATCCTTTTCCAATAACTTGCACAAGGGATCCACTACCTTAGAAAAGTCATTGATGAATCTTCAGTATAACCCCGCATGCCCAAGGAAACTTCTAACCCCCTTGACTAAGGTAGGAGGAGGAAGCTTTGAGATCACTTCAATTTTAGCATTGTCCACCTCTATGCTGTGCTATGAGATCTTATGGTCGAGGACAATGCCCTCCTCGACCGTAAAGTGGCATTTTTCCCAGTTAAGCACAAGATTGGTCTCTTCACATCGGGCCAATACCTTGTCTAGATTCTTCAACCATTTATCAAATGAGTCACCCACAACACTGAAGTCGTCCATGAACACATCCAAAATTTCATCCACCATGTCGGTAATTATGGCCATCATACACCACTAAAATGTAGCCGTTGCATTACACAACCCAAATGGCATACAAGAAAAGGAAAAGGTACCATACGGACACGTGAAGGTGGTTTTCTTCTGATCTTCCGGAGCAATCAAAATCTGGTTGTACCCAGAGTACCCATCCAAGAAATAGTAGAAGGCACGCCCAGCAAGTCTATCTAGCATCTGGTCAAGAAAAGGCAATGGAAAGTGATCCTTGCAGGTCACTTTATTCAGCTTGCGGTAGTCCATGCACACCCTCCATCCGGTAACAGTCCTGGTGGGAATCAACTCATTTTGCACATTGGTAACCACGATCATACCACCTTTCTTCGGCACACATTGCACCGGCAAAGTCCAAGAACTATCCGGGATGGCGTACACAACCCCTACATCCAACCACTTGATCACCTCCTTTTTCTTAACATCTTGCATAACCTCATTCAACCTCCTCTAATATTCCACAGAGGGCTTCGCATCTTCCTCAATAATAATCTTGTGCATGCAAAAGGCGGGACTTATCCCCCGCATATCAGCTAAAGTCCATCCAATTGCCTTCTTCCGTTTTTGGAGCACCGCTAATGTGGCATCTACCTGTATGTTAGTAAGACAAGAGGAAAGAATAACTGGCAAAGTTGAACTAGGGCCTAAGAATTCATACCTGAGGCGTGGAGGAAACGACTTCAAATCCAACACGAAAGGTTCCTCGATTGAGGGCTTTGTTGGTGGAGTCTTCCTAATCTCAAGATCCAAAGAGAGCTTCCGATGCTCATAAGAGTAAGATCCCATTCCATGTAAAGCATTGACACACTCCACCCGACCTCCATCCTCATTGACATCAAGGTTCAAGAATACCTCTTCTAGAGGGTCTTCCACACTGATCATTGCACTTGTATCATCAACTATCACTGTCGTGACAAGATCCACCAAAGAGCACACTTCAGTATTGTGGGCTGCTTTATTGACCTGCACACATGAAAGACCACTTTTTCATCACCCACCCGGAAGCTGAGTTCCCCTGCTTCCACATCAACTAAGGCCTTCCCAGTTGCAAGGAAAGGTCTTCCTAATATGATCGGAAACTCATAATCAATCTCACAGTCCAAAATCACAAAATCAGCAGGTAAAATGAACTTGTCCACCCGGACAAGAACATCATCTACAATACCAAGCGGTCTCTTTGTAGTTCTATCCGCCATTTGCAACCTCATTGAAGTAGCTCTCAGTTGCCCAATACACAAAGTTTTGAACACGGAGTAAGGAATCAAAATGATACTTGGACCCATATCGCACAATGCCTTTGCAAAATTAGCGCTCCCAATGGTACACAGGACGGTGAAAGCGTCGGGATCTTCAAGCCTTGGAGCCATCAAGTGCACAATTGCACTTACTTGGTGAGTCATTTTTATGGTCTCACAGTCCATGAATCTCTTTTTAGTCACCAAGTGTTTCATGAACTTGGCGTAACCCGGCATTTGCTCAAGAGCTTCCACCAAAGGAACATTGATTGATAAGCTCTTCATCATGTCAATAAATTTTCTAGATTATTTCTCATTCTTTTGCTTCGCAAGCCTTTGAGGGTAAGGTGGAGGAGGCCTTGGCGAAGGATCCTTAGTATTGGGCACTACCATTTCCGGTATGTCTATTACATGTTCCCTAGATGGGTTCACATCATCTTGGGTCTCCATCTCATCATCATAAACACTAATCCTCACTTCCACATTCACATTCTCTTCTCTAACTTGCTCATCAGCTAAAGGAACATCATCATCTTGCACTTGAATCTCATCACTCACAATTTCCTTTTGCTTGGAGGTATTCACATCACCACCTCGACCACTTCTATTAATCACCACCATTGCATGCCCGGTGTTGTTCCCATCCTTCGGGTTTACTACCGTATCACTAGGTAGAGCCCCTTAGGGCGAGTATTCAAAGACTGTGAAATCCGGCCAAGTTGAACCTCCAAATTTCGGATTGAAGTATTGTAGGATGCCAACTGGGCATCAGAGTCGGCGTTTTTCTTCATCATTTGTTCAAACATTATCTCGATCCTTCCCATCTCATTGTTTGACGAGCTAGGACCTTGGGACGAAAATGGAGGTGGGTTGTTTGGTTGTTAATACATCAGAGGGCTTTGAAAGCCTTGCCCCTGATTCCCTTGATTGCCATTGTTCCAACCCCCTTGGTTGTTGTTTCCACTCCAGTTACCCTAATTGTTCTGGTTGCCCTAATTTTGATTGTTGTTCCCCAAGTTACTATTGCCTTGTTGGTTTTGATTCTCCCAATTTCCTTGGGATCTCCACTGTTATTGTTGGTTAGGAGCATTGCCCGTTTGTCCTTGGTAATTGTTCACATATTGCACTTCTTCATTTTGCTCATCATAGACCTCATCTTGATTGAAACCACCACTACCTTGGTCATATTGAACCTGTCATGCCCCAAACCGATGGGCTGCAGCGTGCACCCGGAACCTTACTTAACCAAGTACCAACATAACATATCTTTTCATGTCATACTATCATAAATAATTGAGCCGGAGAGGCTGCCGTGAAATAGGTAGAATACAACAGGTAATGGCAACTTATACATAAGACATATGGGCCTCTAAGACCAAAATAATCACTTGAACACTGAACATAGGCCGACAAGGACATACAATCTTTTACGTACATGACATCTGTCTACAAGACTCTAAGAATACGTATTTTTCATAAAGGTCGGGACAGAATCCCGCCATACCAAATAATACACGTCTAAATCATACCAACCAACCAAGCAACACCGAAGCAAATGGAGCGCACCAACATCTTCCGCAGAACTGATAGCCTACTGGGAGGGCTCTCGACCTGTCTATATGGACCTACGGGCATGAAACGCAGCGTCCCCAGGAAAAAGGGACGTCAGTACGAATAATGTACCGAGTATGTAAGGCACATAAATAAGTACATAACTGACATGGAAGAAATATAGAGTAAATGACTCAACCTGTAAGTCTGGAAAACTTTGTAAATCATGAAATACTTATAGTGTCATGCATATGCATATGAATGTCATGTCGTGCATAGGTACATGTTTCATAACATCATCTTCCTCTGAGGGCATCCCATCATATCATCTCGACCACTGTGGGCAAATCATAAACGCATACCAGCTAATCAGGTGGTGGTGTGTATATAATGTCATAACCTTTCCCATATCCCATATACATATATATACATACATATATACCCGTATATAATGTCATATGGTCATAGGTCAATGTACATGAATGCAATGCATGAAAAGTACGGTAATAAAAACTTTCGGAATGTCATAAGACCATTTTGCCTTTGAGTAATATCATAAATTAAACTCTTTTCAACTTTCGTATTTTCCCAAGACCTATGAACAGTTGATAAATTATTGTGACACAAGGAAATTCAAGAACATAGATATCTCTAATACTTCTATGAATAGAGTAATTTATGGAATTTGTGCATTTGCACGTTTCGTTTGTGTCGTATAGATCATGCCAAAAGAAAGAAGGGATAGCCTTAACATACCTGAGCTGATTCTCTTGACAATCCCTCTAATATACGTTAATTGTAACAAATCACGAAACAGAGAGATCGGAGTAGGGAAAAATTCATATGATATTCTTGCGAAAGATTGCACCATACTCCTTTAGAATCGCAAAATCCCATTGCCATAATATTACGTAGTCTCGTATGAATTTAATGGCTTTCATCTGATAGCTTAGCAAACATAAGCACCTCACTTTTATCCAATTTTCACAACTCCTTTTAATTCCAATTTCTTCCAGTGACCCAAACTATAATCTGGCAGCTTGAATTTATTATGAAGGTCGTTAGGACTAAAACTAATGAATGTGATATTAGGTTTTTTGAGAAACTAAAGAAGAGAATCAGCGTTAGGACTAATGAATGTGATATTAGTTTCTTTGAGAAACTAAAGAAGAGAATCTGGTACTTCAACTTGTTTATCCAAGGACAAACTTTTGATATCTTGTAGATGTGTCTTGTGTATGAAACTTAATTTGACACCTTTCCTTCCAAATTATGAGTCACTTCATATATTTTCAAGGGCTTCCATGTTTCTATGCAATAGTCCTTATCCAGAGATTTAATTAATCCACCATCGATTATTAATTAACTAGGTAATGTCCCATTACCAATAATTAACCAATTATCCATATAATTAAGAATTATTTCCACTTACTTAAAATACTACTCACTTTTCACATACCTTATATACCTTACTATCATGGTCATGTGGTACCTTGTATGGTACTAGTTTATAAATACCAGGTATTTTAGCTCTGCCGTATTTTACCCCAAAATGCCAAACTTTGACGAAAATTCATTTTTTTTACTTGCTTCCCATTTCACCTTCACGAATTTACTCATCACTTGTGAAATAGCATAATCCTTATAATCTCCAAATAATTTTTTACTTGGACTGATGTCAATTGCCTTACAACAATTTCAACATACAATACTATAGGGTAAAACATTGTCGTAACTTAATACTCCGAAGCGTAACATTAACGTAATATAATACTGCAGGGTGCAACATTATCGTAACTTATTACTGCGAAGCGTAACATTATCGTAATGTAATATTGGAAGGAGTAACAACATCATAATATTATACTACAGGGCGTAACATCATCATAATATTATACTGCAGGATGTAATATCATCGTAATATTGTAGGGTGTAACATCATTCCCCCCTTTGGAACATTCGTCCTTGAATGTTAACTGGTGCTCTTATCATTTTCATAATTTATAGCTCTTGTAAATACCTTAATACTCTCCTTGCCATTTAAGTAGTTGCTTTGTGAATAAATCAAAAGTCTAGGGTATCCCTCCCCCCTCTTTAGTCTTTTTGCTTGTATCATGACTTGTGGTCGAAATCTATCAAATCTTGCAACTGCTTCTACCTCCTGTCATGTAGCATGTATGACCCTGGCTTTATTAGTGCGCTTATGTGATTCATTTTTTCTTTTTCCTTTTAGCTTTTATCAATCTCAAGGCTTTCCTTTAATTTATCGTTATTGAGGGATGCTTATCAAGCTCCCAGTTACTTTTGTTGCTTATCCTTTAGGTATAAATCTCTATCCTTTAATGCTCCTTCATTACCGTTCATCTTAAGAATCATGGCATAATCTAATGTCATACTTTATAACTTGAATCTGTCCATTGTTGATTCACATCAATGTTGATCTACAATTCTCCACTTGAAGACTTTAAACATCTTACGTAATACATTTCTGCTAGGGCTTATGTTGCATTGAGGAATATTTAAAGTGTTTTCCATAATCGTATTTCATAGCGTCTCAATGTGATTCACCTCGTGCTGTCAGTGAAATCTTTTCTCCTTATCTTCTTCAAATCATTATTCAAACGAAGGCCCAACGTCATCCTTTATCTGTCACCATTACACCCTCATTTTATTTCGAGGTTGCATTTCATTCTTTCTAAATGCTATTAATCATACACTCATTTGAGTTCATTCAGGCTATACATAACTTTCAATAACTTAGAGAAACTATTATTTCTCTTGTTTTCATAGACTTAATCCCGAGGACTTATCCATTCTGGTCACCTTTTCACTTGCCTTTCCTCACCCTTACTCATGTTTTCTTAAAACTTTGTTGTTTTACCATACTTTTGCTTGCAACCTATACATATCCATTTATGCTACTCGCAACTTTCCTTCAACTTGCTTGCATCATAGATTTTCTTATGTTATTCTAGAACGGCAAGCGAAATATCACATCGTCTCCAACTCTTCTCTCTCTTTCTTAACTAGATCTCTTAGTACTTAGAAACCATGGGCTAGAAGACATGCCGTTGACGATGCCGCTATCATTCCCAGTTATTGGATCCCCGTGCTTATAGCCTTCTATCCAAAATGGACTATTCACAACTTTCTGCATTTGAGTATCTCGTACGTTGTTCACATTTACCTTACTTAAAATCTCGTATCATATCTTCTATCTTTTTCATAACCGCCCTTCCACGTAGTATGATTCACACCACAACTTGAAGCTTTATTATAATATTACAATCCGATGGAAGCTTCATACTGACTTCTTATTACTGTCTTTATCGTAGAGCCGTTATAGACTATGATTGTTGCATTATCTCTCTCGTACCTATGATTTTAAAGGAGATCCTGCAATGTTCTCGATCACGATGTTTCTAATTTTCTTGGTCCAATAATCAGACTCATGATTACTTAGTTGATGTCACTCTTAAGTTTCCTCTTCCCTCTGATCAACCTTTATGTAGGCTTAAGCTATCTTCCGATCTGTGGTTCATGGTATTAGTTATCATGTTTAGCTTTTCATGGGCTTGAGAAATATGCATGATGCAACCCTTTAATAATTTAATCCTTCATTTATGACCTGGGCTTAATTCTTTCTTGTAACGTATACAAGAATCTTCTACGGCTGTATATGCTGT